TGCTCTGATGACTGGGCCCTGCTGCCGGCTGCTGGAAGTTCAGGCACTTCCAGGCAGGCTGATCAGGGAAGTTGCCACACAGTCACCCCTCCCCCTCCTCCTGCAAGGAGCTCTGGCAGCTGCTAGAGGCAGCTTCTTTATTTCTCCCAGTCCACCGCCCGACACCAGGGGTTCTGACTTGTGGTAGCTCTCATGCGCAGATCCCATGCTCAAACGTGCTGGTGTGCAGTTTGAGTGTCTTTTGTTGAGTTTTAGATGTTCAGCTTATTGTTTCAAGGAGAGAGATCTGAGGACGTCTCTCACTCTGCCATGTTTTCCTAGAATCCTTTGTTTATTCTTATTCTTCCTAACTTTCTGTCATTCTGAGCCATGGAGTTTGTGTGGGGACTGGGGATTTTGAGGCTTGGCCTGATCCCAGGTGAATATTTAGTAGCACAGCACTTAACCCCAGGCCAGGCTCTAGCACCTTCTGTTCTCTGGTCCTTTGCCCCAATCCTGGAAGGAAGAAATAGCTGCGAACTCCCTCCAATACACAGACAGCACTAAAGCCACAAACTTTATTCCCCAGGACTTTTCTAGTGCCTTGTTTATAACCTAGCTCTCAAGAGTTTTCTAATCTGGTTTCCTAGCCATACAGATTAAAAGCAACAGGAAGAGATATTGGAGTTGGGGATGGGGAGGAGAAGCTCAGACAAACTGACAGGGGAAGTGCCTGCTGAAGGCCTGATATCCTGACAAGACAGAAAAACAAAGTAGCATAACACAATAAATGATGTTGATTCTGATTGCCCTGAGTTAGCAGGGTAAGAAATATGGGAAGTATGTGATATATAATATTTCATGTCATTAAAAATACTGTTTAAAAGTTGTGGTGTTTAAAGGATAAGATTCCCTTATCTGTACAAATTCAATTATTTCTAACTCTGCCATACCTCACCTAAACCAGAATTACGAGCTATTTCCTCTAATGAGAATATAATACCTTTTTATAGTACAGATTTGAAGCCCTGAGGGGCTGAAAGGAACACTCACTTTGTGAGAGTGTTTCAGGCATCGAGTAAGAATGTAATTTGAATGATGAATTCATTCATTTAATGATTTGGTCCTTCTAGAGGTGTCACATTTCAGACTTCATTGGAGGCTCCCTCAATTGCCCATAGGCTTTTTCCACATTTCTTCTACTGGCCCAGGAGCCACCTGAGGTCCTCTGTGGAAGCCTGAGCTGTGTGGGTGTGCAATTTAGGGCTTGGGGTCCCAAACAGGAAATGACTTCAATCCTCAGAGATGTCACTGTCTGGGTTCACTGTACTGATGAACCAGCCCAGCATATTCACCACCACCTCTGAGTCAGAGGTCTGGACAGGGCACAGATGCTGGTACGCAGATTGCAGCCTGTCTTGTTTGTGTGACCATGAGCTTTCTGACCAGCTGCTGTGAACTGGTAGGCCTTGGGTGGGAGACTATGCTGGTTGAGCCAGGGCTTTCTGCTGCTGTCATTCATCTGCAGTTACATCCCTCCTTTTGCTAGTTGATTAATAGTCTGGCCATGCACTTCTGCCAGCAAGAAGGTCTGTTTTATTCACTCCTCCTGACCCCCTACTCCATAACACAGAGTACGATTGGCTCAGCTCAAAGTAAAGAAACAATGAGGCTGCAGAGCCCCATAAACAGTCAGAAGCATGTCTCACTTAGCCCTTGTAATTGTAATGCCTTGGCTCTGCGTTTTGCTACCCTTCCCTGTTCTGGCCCATAACATGCTTCACTGAGGGATGGTTGTGAAATCTGGTAGAACATTGGACTAGGAATCAGGAAATCTGGGTTCTTGTCCTGGATCAGCTGTGGGCTGCTGTGTGATCTTAGACAAATCTCTTATCCATCTGCCAGAAGGAGAGGGCACGGTGGTTGCATTAGATGATCTCTAAATTCTAATATCTAAACCTTCCATTCTCTTTCCTGTTCATACAGACAGGAATGTTTTGGTCCATTTCCAAAAGTATCATTTCTTTTCCTTGGTATTCATGTCTCCCTTCACCTGAACCTCTCTTTTGGTGAAGTAGTTATTTAATTCTTTTGAAAACTGCCCTGAGAATGTGGAAAGATTGTATTAGAGGTGCATAAGTTCTGGGAGTTTTGATTTTGGAACTAACATATGAAATTCAGTATTAATAGAGTTACTGTAGTCTCATATGGAATTTTAATCACTGAATTACAGGGAGATCAGCCCAGCTAACCATTCTTGTGTGATGCAGTAAGATTTGGAACTAGACATCTTAGCCTCAGTTTACTCTTTTGCAAGTGACTTGAGTAGGCATAGAAGGAATATGTTGTGCCATCACCTTGCCTAGGAAAAAAGCAGGGAAATGGCTGAAAATGGTGTGGCAGCAAAGCTGGACATGGATACCAGACAAGTAGCAGAATTTATTAAATGCCCACTGTTGGTGACTGAGCCAGGCATTGTGGAGCAGAGAGACTAAGAGGACAGCTTCTACAAACAAATGCTGCCTGTTCTTGCTTCTGGGATTACATCAAGTTGTTTTCTTCAGTTGGCATGCTCTTCTTCTCCTCTTAGCTTTTTCAAAACCTTATCCATATAGCATGTTCCATCTCTTCCATTAAATTCCTGCAATTATTGAGGACTTCCCAGATCCTGAGCCCTCTTTGGGAGATGCAAAGATGAATAAAGACTTAGTCACTATGCTCAGGCTGATTGTACTTTTTTGTCCTGCTTGCATCACTGTTGCTTCATGTATGTTTCTTTCTCCTTTTCAACTAAATCTTAAGCCCATTGAGGGCAAAGGCTATGTTTCAGGCATCCTAAAACCACTTCAAGTTGGGTGATTCACTAGAAGGACTTACAAAACACAACAGCAAGTTTTATTCAGCTAAAGTTTATTACAGCAAAGGATTCAGAGAAAGACAGCAGGAAAAATACATGTATTGGTCAGGCACAGGCTTCCACATCCTTTCTATCCAGGGCCACACAGGAACAACTAGCAGTAAACTACAGGGACACCTGTGACATGTCTCTGTCCAGGAAAACCCACTCAAATATCAGAGTCTGAGGCTTTTATGAAATGAAACTCAGTACTCCAACATTGAAACCAGGCACATCACATATCTTGTTAAACAATCCTGAGAAGTCCTAATGAGCTGATACAATATGCCCCAATGCTCTGGACATATAAACAACGTCATCAATCAGAGACATGAAGAACATTCTGAGGGCCATATTCCCAGGGCTAGGTCTAAGGCCAATTATGATTTCAGGCTCGCCTGGAGACATGAAAAGACTAATCTACTAGACCTTCTGTGTTAACTCTTTCTTCCAAACTTTGTCTTACATATTCATGTATCCTCTCAGAGTGCTTAGCATGGAATAACACAAGATATGACCTGTCCTCTGAGCTCAAGATTCATACATATTTCATTACTTGCCATGTCCAGCCCCATAGACTTTGACACTTTAACATGTCAAAATCTGAACTCAAATTTCACACCCCATTATCCTACTCTTCTCTGTATCAGTAACTGTCAGCATCATTCACTCTATTGCTCAAGCCCTCACATTTGGATGTTATCCTTGATTCTCCTCTTCCTCACTTCCTACAGCCAATCACTGATTCCTATTAATTCTAACTCTGAGATATATCCCAAATGTGACTATCTCTCATTCTCTCAACCACCTTAGTCTAAAACACCAGCATCTTTCATCTGAATTGTTTGCCTTCTAAATGTCTCTATTTGTCTTCCCCATGGCCAGTTCTCCATTCACCACCCAGAATGATCCTTCAAAATATATACCAAATTACATCACTCACTGCTATTCGCAGCCTCCAATGGCTTCTCATCATGCTTAGATTAAAATTCAAACATTTTACTTGCCTTCTCACTCATCATGCTCTGGCCTCAGACCAAGTGAGTAGGTCTGTTTCCTGCTCACATGATAGTCCTTCTTCCAGGATTGTTCTCCTTACTCTTCAAATGCTTGGATCCTTCTTATCCTTTATGTTTTACTTCCATTGTCAATGCGTCATGGAGACTTTCTCTGACCACCCTATCTAAGATAGCCTATCCCCTCCCCTCCTCTAAAATCATGATTGTGTATTTGTTTATATATTTGTTGTCCCTCAACACTAACTAAAACGTAAGCTCATGAGGGAAGATACTTTTTTATCTTGTCCATAACGATATACCCAGCACTTAGCACTTTGCCAAATTCAGAGTAGGCATTCAAGAAATACTTGATGAATGTAGTAGATAATGAATAATCACTATTTCATTACTTTAAAGTGATGAACTTGTCTCTGCCCTTACAGTTTACATTCTACTGAAAAGTTGAGTAGAAAAAATATATATACAGAAAGATTTTCTGTGCCTTCTGGTATCCAACATAGGACATGTCAGTATTCTGGACAGGAGAAACTAGCAAGCAGCAGAGAGGCCACATCAAACAGCCCAAATCCATCCAGCCCAGTGGTCTCTTTGACTGGCTTCTAAAGGTTGTTTAAAGGAAGATCCCAGCAGCTTGGAAATTCCAAATGGAAGGCAAGGATCGTAGAGAGTCGATGTCTTCTCCAAGGTAGTGGCAGCGGGTTTTTTTTTTTTTCCAGAGCAGCACTCACCGCTTGGTTACACTGTGTTTCTGGCTTCTTCAGAGCCTAGCTTTATGGGTATCAAGAGATCCCGTGGACTGCCTAATATCATTTAATAAATTTCCTTTCTGCTTAAACTAGTCAGAGTAGATTCAGTAGTTTACAGCTAAGAACTTTGACTATCCAGTAGGTTAGAAAAAAAAGATTGACAACCAGAATCCTGACTTGTAAATGACGTTTAAGCTTGAATAGAAAAATGTTGAAATTATACTGACATTGGAGGGATAATTTCGAAACGAAAACAACACATATAACTATATCAAAGTGATATGCTAAGTTTGAGGTAGAATTATTTATTCATATGCCTAGGGGAAATTATATGTTTTTTGTTTTTTTTGTTTTGTTTTACATCAGACGGGTAATATTCCAATGTGGTAGCAAGGTTTGAGGGAGGCATATCTCACACAAGAGCATGAACAACCCATCATCACACTTATGAACTACAAAAGGATCTGTATGTTTTTATGTGTCTATAAAGCACCATTTTCAAAAACGAGTGTTTTGAGCATTTGTTTTGAGGTATTGTAATCCAGAGTAATTTTTATTACAAGTATATCAGTTACTAAGTGAAAGAGACTAAAAATATTATTAAAAGGCAAAAGTAAACTATATGTTAAAGGCTGCAACTTGGTCGATAAGACTTTAAAGAAAATGAAGGAAGGAATTGTAAGTTGCTTGAAGTCTAGCTGAACAGAGTCCTACAACTGGGGACATACAGAAGATGCCACCTTGAGAATAGTAGGAGGATGGAGATGCAGAACAGGGTGGTCCAATACCCACATGTGGCAGTTGAGAATCAAGAGAGACCTCTCGGCTGTGGAGGTCTCCCCAGAGGAGCAGGAGGTCACAGCCCCAGGCTGGACTCCCCAGCCCAGGGTTCCAGTGCCAGAAAGTTCCCATAATTTCTGGCTGTGAAAACCAGTAGAGATTGTGGCTAAATGAGATAGAGGATGGCTGGAATCGCAGAAATTCCTCTTAAGGAGCCCTCATGAGAATTTACATTCTGGTGGACTCACTCTCTCTGAGCTCCAGCACTGGGGCAGCAATTTGAAAGGAGCCAGGGGCATTCAAGGAGGAATTGAATTGTTAGGCTTCAGAGCAAAAGCTGCAGGGACAGCTTTCTCCCAGACAGAACTGCTGGCAGAAGCCATTATCTTTTTGGTGAACCATCTCTCCTCCTGGCATGTAGATGCAAGTGGTTACAGTATGTGAGTCTCCATCAACCTGGCTAATATTGGTTGCCCTGCCCTGGTGATTCCCTAAGACTCTGCCCCACACAACTTGCAGGCTCACCCAAGCCAATTCCAGTAGCGTTTCCATACAAATGACCTGTCTTGGCTTATGCCACAGACTTTCCTAAAATCTCTCAAAGTTAATAAAACCCAACGAAGCAGCATCTGGCCTCTGTATGCCCCGTACTTCTTGCTGAGCAGCCCCAAGCCCAGCACCGCAGCAGCCCACGTCGGTTCACAGCTTCGCCCCTTGAGACACCTTCAAGCCTAGCGTGTGTGGCAGCTATTTGTGGATTGCTTGGTGGGTCATGCCTGGTGGCCCCAGGCAGGGCATAGGCTGCAGCTGAACTGGACCTGCGGCAGACCCCTCCCAGGGGGCCCTAGGGTGACACATCTGGTGGCTGGCTCTGACCAAGCCAGAGCACCACTCAGGGCTTCATTTGAGGATGACACACCCAAAGAACAGACTGGGCAGGCACCAGAGCCCTGATAAAGTGAATCCTGCTGTAGGATCAGCCCCTGCATGACAGCTCCACCACTGAAGTCACCAGCTAGTCCTCACAACCAATCAACCTGAGAGTCAGTCCCTCCCATTGACGTGCAAACAGCAACCAGTGCTCAACTACAATAGGAAGGCACACACAACCCATACAAGAAAAACATCTAGAGCACCGTGACTCAGATGACCACTGTGCCACTGGGCCCCCTAGGACACCTACTACATAAGACCACTCTACTTACACTAGGATACTTAGGAGCCCTACCTAATACATAGAAAGAGACACAGGGAGGCAGCCAAAATGGGGAGACAAAGAAACATGTCCCACATGAATGAAGAGAACAAAGCTCCAGAAAAGAACTCAGCAAAATGGAGACAAACAATCTATCAAATGCTGAGTTGAAAACACTGGTTATAATGATGCTCAATGAACTTAGGGGAAGAGATGAATTCAGGACTTTAACAAAGAGATAGAAAACAAATATGGAGTTAGGAAACATAAAAAGGAACCAGTCAGAAATGAAGAATACAATAACTGAAATGAAGAATACATTACAGGGAATCAACAGTAGATTAGATGAAGCAGATGATGCAATCGGAGATTTAGAAGATAAGCTTGCAAAAAAGACCCAATCAGAACAGCAGCGAAAAGAAAGATTCAAAAAAAAAAAAGATAGTTTTAGGGGCGCCTGGGTCAGCATCAAGCGTATCAATATTCACATCATAGAGGTTCCAGAAGGAGAAGAGCAAGGAATTGAAAAGCTATTTGAAGAAATAATGATGGAAAACTTCCCTAACCTGGTGAAAGAAATAGACGTACAAGCCCAGGAAGCACAGAGTCCCAAACAAGATGAGAGGTGGGTAGAAAAGAGGAAGGGGTTAAGAAGTGCAAATTGGTAGTTACAAAATATAAAGTATAATATAAGGAATATAGTCAATATTTTAATAACTACATAAGGCATTGGATGGGTACTAGATTTATAGAGGTGATCACTTCATAAAATACATAAGTGATAATCACTATGTTGTACACCTGAAACTAATATAATATTGTATGCCAACTGTAATTGAAAAAATATTTTTTAAAAAGGGAAGAAGGGATTACCATAAAAGTCAGCATAGTCATTAATTTTAGGATTGGATTGGGACATGTGTCAGGCTTCTGAGGTAGGTGGCAAAGTCCTATTTCTTGACAAAGATGGTAATTAAAAGGTATTTACTTTACAATACTTGATATACAGTCTTCTATATGTTATATTTTACAATTGAAAATGGTGAAAAATAAGTCTATCGAGTACTCAAATGTGAATTATTTTTATGTGAATGTTCCTTGTGTGTTTCCATTCCAGGATTCCTGAAGTCTTTGTTATGGATTTTGTCTCTGGGAACATATGAGTTCCTGTATAAATTTAGCAGAAAGTTAGCTTAAAATGTTTATTGTCCCTTATAACCCAGTCATACAAATGAAAACGAGACACCATTTACCCCTATCAAATTGGCAAAGACTTTAAAACGTGTTATAATTATTGGTGAAAGTATGAAGAGATGGGTTCTTACGTGCCCTGCTGATAGAAATGTAAATGAGTGCAACCTTTCTAGAAAGCCATTTTATAATCTGTAATAAGGGTCCCCAAAATAGTCATACTCTTTTCCACAGTAAACTTAATTCTAGGAAATTAATTTTAAGGAAATGATTAGAGATGTACAAGCAGATATATGTACAAGGATGTTCCTGGCAGCAGTTCTGTAATAGTGAAATCTTAGAAATAGCATAAATATTTAACACTACAGAAACAGTACAATCATAAGATGAAATATTATGCAGCCATCTATATGGGTGGTTTTGCATATAAGCACATAGAATAATGATAATGATGAGGATGGCCAACATTTATTGATTACTTACTATTTGCCAGGGACTACTAAACCTCTTTATATGAATTCTCTCATCCTTACAACAATACTTTAAGGTGAGTATTATGGTTATTCTCATTTTGCAGAGAAGAAAACCAAAGCTCTGAAAGGTTAAGTAACTTGCCCAAGGTCACACTGTAAGTAAGCAATAGTACCAGGGCTTGAATTCAGACCTGAGTACTTCAAATTTACATAAAGTCTGTTAGCAGTTATCTTTAGGTGATAGGATTATTTTATTTTTATTTTCTACTTTATAGTTTCCTTTATACTCTTAATTATATGAACTATCCACTTACTATTTTTATAATCAAGAAAATAATAGCTATTCCCAGATATTCTTGCCACACAGAGATACACTGACTTCTGGTGGAAGTGTCTAGGAATGAGGGCCAAGGGTCTTGAGTCATGAAACAACGAAGAATTTCCTTGGGCTCAGCTTCCCTTGCTCCACAACTAGTCCAGGTTTTTCCTAAGAACATTGCCACCTAACTAGCTACTGGAAAAGTAGCTGCCTTGGTTCGGGTTCCTTGCTTCTGTACAAGTAGAATCTTACTGAGGAAGGAAATGGCATATGGGCAGTGACAAAGGACAGAAACTGCCTGCTTTCTGAATTTCCTACTAAAATTGCCTGCTTAAATTCCTATGTTTTACATTGATTGCCTCATAGCCATGTGTTATGCAGAAGGAGTTCTGATTTGACACTTCTTATGTGCTTCTCTGCCACTTCTGCCTCCATACCAGGGGTCAGGTAGCCTCCTTCTGGCTCTGGTTGGGCAGCAACCTTGATTAGTCCAGGAGAACTCATAGCTCTCAGTGGGTCATCATAACTTTGTACTGTTTCCATAAGTATATCAGCTACTTCAGCTTTATAACCAGTCTTTTTCCTAAACTTAGATGTTTCAAGGGAAGATGAGGTAAGAAAATGCAACAGACTGTGTGAACCCTTCTCTAGGGCTGAGAACACTTATTCAATACTCCTGCCTTACTAAGAACAAATCAGTATAGGAAAGAAAGACACTTGGAGTTTTCCCCAAGGTTAACTCAGAGGCCTGGGAATGAAACTTAGCTCTCCTGCTTCCTAGGCCACCCTGTGCTGTCTATATTTAGCCAAGCTGCCCAAGCCTTTTCCATCTTGTCTGAAAGCCAAAATAGGCACACAGTTTGCTCATAAACATTCCTGTGCTTGCCAGCTCATGCCAGCCAGCCATTCAGATGTGGTTTAAAAATGTGAGCCTCCTTTTGCACCCAGTTCCTAGGGCCTACAGGGAATGAATACACACCAAGGGATCAACAGCCTGAGTTTTTCCCAAAGCTAAGTGACTTCAACCAAATGCCTTAAAATGAAAGGCGTGTCTTTTACTGTTTTATCTTGGCAGGGCTCAGTGAAAGACTCCCTCTCAGACCCGCTGTTCCTGGTCACAGTTCTTTGAGTGTGTTGACCTACTTTCTTCCCTTCAGAGGGAAGACAGAAACCGATAAATGTCTCCAGCAAGGACTCTTGCTTTCAGGAGTATTGACTCTGTCTTCTGGCCCTGGTCCTCTCCTTGTTCCATTATCACTCTGCTATAACCTCTTCAAGCATGACTGAACCAGAACCCTGAGTGTTGTTTTTTTGTCCCTCTTTACAGCTGTGTTTGCAGAGGTAGTGTGGCCTACACATCACAGGAATGGGGACAGAGCCCTCCCTGCTTTCCTTTCCCTA